GCATGTCAGAAAACTCATTTAGGGGAACAACAAGGAGGGGGATTGGAAGTGTGTGTGTGTGTGTGTGTGTGTGTGTGTGTGTGTGTGTGTGTGTGTTTTGGCACAAACAAGGAGAAGAAACTGTTCAAGGACAGAAAAACAGCCTCTACATGCAGACACTTTGTAATTCCATTTGGGAAATGTGTGTGAGTGTGTGTGAGTGTGTGTGAGTGTGTGTGAGTGTGTGTTCGCCCCATCAACTCATAAATCTGGCCCTCCTCTTTTCTGACTCTTATTGTTGCGCTTAAATCCAGTTTACATGCCCAGTGCTCATTAGCTGATTGTGTGTATCATTTACAAGTGAATTCGATCAGTTGCAATGGACTTAAAAGATGGGGAACGGATAGAGAGAAAACACATTTCTGTGTTTTTCTTTCTAAATGCGACGTGCGTCTTTTGGATTTAAAGCAAAATGTTCCTTTAATTGCTGATTGCTGCAGCACAATATTCATTTCATCGATAGACGGCATACAAAAGTGTTTTCTAGTTGTTTGGTTTCAGGTACAGTCCCGAGAGGTGAGATAAAAGCGAAGGGATGACACGCAGTACAGGTCATTAAATGGGATTTTGGACCCACAGTGTTGTGAGTACATGGTTTGCCTCTTAGCCCATTGAGCCATGAGGACACCCCAAATGGTTTTTTATCTCTGGCCCCATTGAGAGCCCGGTATCGAGCTGACAATCCCTGTCCTCTCTGGAGGTGGCCTTTTACCTCAGCCCATTGTAGTCTGTGACTGGGAGCCTGCGCTATCTAGCATCTATTGATTCCCACTTTATCTGGACCAAAGCAATGCAGGAGAGGGGAGAGAGACAGACAGAGAGACAGAGAGAGAGAGCAGTGTGTGTGTGTGTGTGCGTGTGTGTGTGTGTGTGTGTGTGTGTGTGTGTGTGTGAACAGCAGAGGAGATAAAGTTTAAAAAAATGTTTCAAGTGTTCAAAGGGAGTCAACTTGCGTCATGATGACTGACATTTAACACATGACACCTGAACTAGATTTTTCTTTTTTAATATTATTGGTGCACTAAGAAGGACGGTGGGAGGGAAAATGTGTTTAAGAAGAAAAAGGGACTATATCTAGAAGAAGAATAAAACAAGGAAGTGAGAAAAGAAAAAGAAGAAACAAAGGGCACAATGACCAAACCGTGGAGAAAGTAAGGTTGTTAGGAAAGGAAAGCTGGAAGTAAAGGAAGAATGAAAGCAACAGCAAAAGTGAAACAATGTGAGGAAAGAAGGAAAGAAGATCAGAAAAACATGCATGAGGAGAAAAAAGGGGAAATATATAGAAGATGAAGAAAACAAGGAAGAAATGAAAAGGAGGAAAGAAGAAAGGAAGGTACCAAACCAGATAGTAAGGTTGTAAAGGAAGGAAAGGAAGAATACCAGGATGAAAGCAAGGGCAGAAGTGAAACAAGGAGGGACGGGTCCTCTTTGCTCTCCACTCTTCCGTATGATGTAGCTCTCTCCGCCTCACCATCTGGTGTCTATAATTACCTGTGTGTGTGTGTGTGTGTGTGTGTGTGTGACTCCTTATTTAATTTATTAAAAAACTTCTATCATGTTAAATGTGGGTTATAATAGTCTTGTTTTACTTTTTGAATGGTTATTAGGGGTTTATAAGCGTTTTTTGATTATGAAATCCAGTCAAGCTGATTTATTTACACACAGCACATTTAACCCCTAATTCTTCACCAGCTCAAAAACTATACTTGCATAAATTTATTGTGTCAGATGTCCGCTACAGAAAACGACTCATTACTTCTGCTTCCAGAATTTCAATACAATGGATGTCTGTGACATAAAACACATTGGTGTTGACAGCAGAGGATATGCAAGGGACTCGTTGCAGAGAATTGGGGACCGGCCTAAGTGTCCACGTCAGCGCTACAGCAGCGAGTAAATAAATCAAGACAGGAGATCCCAAAAGTCAGTTGGATATGCTTTCTGCTAGTCGGGTGACGTATTGTTTTGTGACACGAACAAAAACCAGCCATGAAGTGGATCAAGTGGCAGAGATTAAAAGGACGTAAGAAGAAGGGGAGATGGGATAGATCGGGTGGAATGAGGACAGAAGAAGAAAGAGAAGATAAAGTGAGCGAGGAATGGAGTGAGGTAGGAAGACAGACAGACAGGGATTGAGAGGGAGATAGAAAGGGGAAGAAAGCCAGGGAGAAGCGGAAGATGAGACGATCCATCTTGGCACATTAGGGGGCGGATCAAGCCTGCACTCCATCATGGCTGTCAGAGAGAGAGGCGCACCTCCTCTCCGCTCTCCTCCATCCATCCCTCGCTCGCTCCGCCGGCCCGGGCATTCTTACTGAAGAATCGCGACACTAAAAAGTCATGTCAGGCCTATTTCCTTGTTATTGTCCAGCCCTCTTCCTCTCCCTCCTCCCACCTCACCCCTCCTCTCCCCTCCTCTGACTCCGATACCTTCCCTCTGCTCCCCGAGATTAAACGCACCCATGTTGCGCCGCAGGGTGCAGGACATGTGGGAGGCTCCTAGGTGTGTGTGTGTGTGTGTGTTGCCCCGACATTAATCATCTTTAAGGCGCTGACAAGCCATGGTGTGCGACATCACATCACATCAACACCCTCCTCCCCCTCCCCTTTCTCCACTCCCCTCCTTCTTCGTCCCCTCCTCTGGATTTATCTGTCCGTTCGCCTCTCCCCGTCACTCACTTCCCTCAGGGAGAGAAGGGGAAAGTAGGGGGGGGGAGAGAAATGCGAGGGGTAAGAGTGACACGTAAAGGGCGAGAGAACAGGAAAGAAAGTCAAGTCCTTTGATTTGACAACATGTTCTAATACGTTGCACATACGCTGACATGATAACCAAGAAATCTGAATTGATGGCTGCTTGTTGAACCGTTTTTAATCAGTTTGAGGCTCTGGGAGACAACCGGAAATATGAATAAGTCGACTCGTGATCTGCATTTTAAATTTAAAGATCTGAGCCACGTCATTAATTTAATGTTTACTCATGTACAAATGATTCGGACAGTAAAGGTGCGTCCTATTCTAACACATGACTACCTGTTCCATCACATCAAGTACCATGTGAGTGTTTGAACTCTGCGTGCACGGTGAACGGCTCGGTGAAGGACAGCCGAATTCCAATCCAGCTCCAACTCCTCCACTTTCTAGTCTTTCCGTGTAGTTGATTGTTGACATTCTGTTGTCAAGCCCCATGCATCTACGCTTCCTTTTTCATCATTGTTTTGTTAATAATACAAATAAAAGTCAGAACATTGCACAATTCAAAGGAAAATCACCTTACATTGAAATGCGAAAAAAGAAAAAGAAAAGGTAAACTCATGCTGTGCAAAATAAGTATTTACTTTTATGTTTTTTACATTACAAAAGCCGAAAAAATAATCAAGGACGGGCATACGTTTGTGTGCGTGTGTGTGTGTGTGTGTGTGTGAGTGCGTCCATGTACTCCAGGTGTGTGTTTTGTCCGCGGAATAGAAAGAGCCCCATCAGCTGCAGACAGGGATTGGATCTCTCTTTGTTTGCTGTGGCGGATGGCGACGGCTTCAGCATGACTCAAATTATCTTGTCAAAGCAATAAAGGGGAGAAGGGTGGGGAAAGTGGGGGTTGGGGGGGGCAGAGGAGAGGAGAGGGAAAGAAAGGAGGCGAGCAACATGAGGGGAAAGAGAAAGTGATGGGGCAACAGAAAAAGAAAGTGAAAATTGAATGAAATAATCAGAGAGGAGATGAGGGATAGGAGAGAGGAGGAGAAAGAAATGAAACAAATAAATGGATGGTAGGGAGCAGAAAATTAGAAATGGATGAGGCCGGGGAGAGAGAGAGAGAGAGAGAGAGAGAGAGAGAGAGAGAGAGAGAGAGAGAGAGAGAGAGAGAGAGCACGCAGGGAGGGATAGGTGTGGGGAGAAAAAGAGTAAGAGGCAGAGGGAGAGATGGAGAGTAATCGATTACCTATTTTTCAAAGTCACTTAACGTGTCCAGTGCTGTGGCTCTGTTAAGTAGCGGTGCAGGAGAATGGGAGGCCGGTATGCACACGCACGCTCTGAGAAAGAGGGGGCGGAGAGGGGGGGGGGGGGGGGGCCCACTAGTTGATGAGTTCTCTTGCAGGAAACTGTTCTGACACACCAATATGTGAGCGAGGAATACGTGTCCCCAGAGGGCTGCGTGTGTGTGTGTGTGTGTGCGTGTGCGTGTGTGTGCGGACAGGGAGTCCCCCCCTTACCTGGTCCTCCCGTTGCCTTGGTGACAAGCAGTCTAAACGGGATATCCTGGCTGAGGCGGAGCCTTTTGTTCCCCGAACTAAAAAAAGCCCGTTTGATTGGCTAAATACAGGAAATCAGGAAGTGTCCTCCGACATTAAGCACTGAGACACTTTCAATAGATGTTATTTTTAGCCGGCTCAGACGGACTCAAAGGCAAACTTGAGAAAGTTGGGTGTATACTACGCACACACGAACACAAAGGCACCAAGACAACAACATGCAAAAAAAAAAAAAAAAAATGTAAAATGCTAAGTGCGCACTTTCCCGATACACACAATGACACGCACACACAGGTGGGCCCCCGCCCTGTGCCCCGCCGATCAAGGACAATGAAGTGAGGTAGTGTTGGCAGACTCTATACAGCATTATCTCATCCACGGCGGACACTTCTTTAAATCTGCTTCGACCTGAGAGGACACGCTGGAGACTGTGCAGCACTCTATTCCCCCTTTTTCGACTGTGTGTAAAAGCAGAATTAGAATGCATGTGCACTTCATGTGTGCGGTAGCACGATTACACAATCCTTCCTCGAGTGTCCTTGGTGAATTCAAGGGCTGCCGGGTACTGCACGACGGATACAAAGTTGAAAACATTTGATTTGTCTATGTGATACAAGTTAAACAGACACAACGGTATGTATTTGTGTGCTTGATACAAGGTGAAATCTGTCCTGTCTACATACTGATGTTCCTCCCTTTGTCCTTTCTCTCCAGGTAAAAAGAAGATGTCCCTCTATGACAGCCAGGCCCCAATCTGTCCCATCTGCCAGGTGCTGCTGAGGCCCGGAGAGCTACAGGAACACATGGAGACGGAGATAGAGAGGCTAGCCGCCGTATGCTTCAGGTAGGCCTGAAACACATGTGTATGTTGTTTCACACACAGTCATTTACGGTACAGTGTCCAGTCTCAGTACCCCGAAATCTGGTCTCAGTACTGCAGCACCTGGTCTCAGGATACTGCAGTATCCGGTCTCAGAATACCACAGCATCCGGTCCCGTATCACACCATGCTCAGGGACAGCTTCAACCTGCAGGCCACTCTGAATGGTCATTACCAGCAAAACTACTTGGTTAAGCCTAATAAAACACGTTGTTTCTTCTTAGAATGGTGACGTAACAACCGTAACAACATAACTACCTGTAAACAAAAAACAACCACCCTTACGTGACAATCATAAAGTCAACATCTGGCATTGGTTTCACAGGAACAGCGGTCTCCTTCGTGAAAGTCCTTTGTTTGCTTTGCACATTCACAGCTCTCTTTCCCCGCGTTTCCAGTCTTTCTGCTAAGCTAAGCGAAACACATCTCTGCTTACCGTCATCGTGTACGCAGATTATTCAAACTGATGTCAATCCTGAAGACGAATACTTCACTGGCTCGTAAAGATGTGTGTTTTTCAGGCCGAGGGTTGGAGGCTGAGCTTTAACTCAGCTTTCGTGTCAGACTCACTGACCGACGTTCTTCCCGAGCCGAGATTTCGGTGCCATAAATCTGCATGAAAGGCATCGGCATGCCGTCGACGTAACGCTAAGTGTTTCCTGCGGGGATTAGGATTCGAACCTGTGACCTCAAGTTCGATGCCCCCCTCGCGCTTCTCCTCATGACAGTTGCACGAGCTGGTTTTACGGCGAATAAATCAACTCCAAGCCCTTTTAACGATGGGACACAACCATTAGGATCCATATTTCACCTTGACCACACGTCTGGCTACGTGTGTGTGTGTGTGTGTGTGTGTGTGTTTGTGTACATACAGAACGTGTGTGTCCTGTGTGTGTGTTTGTGCGTGACCCGGTGTCCACCTTAGCGGCCCAGCTTTATAATAGTCCCCATTAACCTGGAGGAACGGGGCGACAGATAGCGTCACCCCACATATAAAATCACACTTCATTTACCCCCGTTTACACCTCCCTTACCCCTCCTCCCATCTGTCCCTGTCCTCGTTCCTCTCGCTCCCGTTCTCCTCACCTGCCCTCTTGTTCCCCCATCCGTCTCCGTCCTTCTTCTTTCTCCCTCTTCACACCTTTTCCACCTTTTCTTCCCTGACTCTCTTTTTCACTCCGTCCTCTTCTAGCCCGATCCTGTCATTTCTTCATCACCTCATTTCGAAGGGTTTATAGAAGCTGCAAGCTAACATCAGACCAGAAGCAGCGACCTGGGGTACACCCACGGAAACATAGGGAATAAAGACGGAGAAGTAGATGGAATAGAGTGCTGAAGGAAGGACTCTTTGAACCCGGAAATTAGTTTGTATTTTCGCACTTCCAGTTCCCTCGTCTCGAAGTCAATGTGTTTTTGATTAGAAGCCTGAAATGTCTGTGGCTAGCACAAGCTTAAGAGATTGAAAGGATTTGATCTATGATATTAAATATGTCATTAAATACTACCCTCGCGCATTTTAAAGCTTTTACGTGTCTCAAAAAAGGCAGTCGCTAACAAGCGGATGTGGTGTAGTTGGTTTGTAGCCTAACGTTAGCTTTTTACTTCCATTTCTGAAGATTAAACGTCCGTTCACCACAGATCTTATTTGCAGATCTCATTTTGCTGAGTGAGGGTCATCCATCCATCCACCGTCTGATATGGTGAGGTGTGTGTGTGTGTGTGTGTGTGTGTGTGTGTGTGTGTGTGTGTGTGTGTGTGTGTGTGTGTGTGTGTGTGTGTTTCAATAATTAATAAAGGTTAGTAGTCTGTCCTTCCCTCTGTGGGTCTGAGATACTGTGAGATACACACACACACACACACACAGGCGGTTATTTAGGGAAATAGCGTCATCCCTGGTTGAGATGATGGGATGGTGGCTAACGTCACGGCTGGCTGATTTAGCTACTCACCATTAACCCGTCCGACACGTGCACACACACATACATACACACACACCCACACACACACACCGCGGGAAAAACAAGAAAAAAGAGGAGAGGAGGGAGGGAATGAGGATGCAAAATATCAAATAAGATATTTTGATGGAGATGTTCTTTTTGCGAACACATGCAAACACAAAATGTGACTTTGTTTGCGTGTCAAATGGCTTTTATTCTAAGCAAGAGGTAGAATAAAAGTGTGTGTGTGTGTGTGTGTGTGTGTGTGTGTGTGTGTGTGTGTGTGTGTGTGTGTTATATCACAAAACCACATTGTATATCGCACACACATGCACGCTTGCTCTCCCTCTCCCCGGCTCTCTGCATGGTAGCAGCCATCATTGAAAGTGACAGTGGGAATTTGGTCCAATTTGTAGTAAATCTGCCTTTAATGACGGCCGGCGCTCGCTGAATGAAAGAGCCGTGGGTATGGAAACGAAAGGCGCGTGCACGTGTGTGACAACACTCGCGCCTCCCATATACATCCGCCGGTTGGCCTCTCTTCTGCCAACATCTGCTCTTCTGTGCTGTTTCTATTTGTTTTGCTGTATTTCTCTCCTCCGCCCTCGCCGTGCGTTTGATTACGATTGCCACCCTGTCCAGAGGACAGGGTGGCAATGTGAGCTACTGGTGAGCTACTGGTGAGCTACAATGTGAGCTACTGGTGACTGTGAGCTCCGTGGACTGTTCATGGGCCACGGCTCCTCGTGCACGGACATGGAAATCACACACACACATACACATACACACAGTTGAGCAAATGGTGATCTATCATGCCCTGTAAACGTCAGGTGACTCTTGGGGGCAAAGTAATCTACATACCCCATCACCCCTCCTGTACGTACCCCTGCTCCTCTTCCTCCTCCTCCTCCTCCTCCATAATCAATTTGCCTCCACGAGACCCCCCCCCCCAACCTCTTTCGGCAGACAACACAAAAAGGCAAAAAGCAATCAGCATCTCGGGGCAAGCACCATCCCTCCATTCCTCTTTTCATCCATTCCACCCAACTCCCACTGAAAAAGGACTTATTCATCTCTCTCTCTCTCTCTCTCTCTCTCTTTCTCTCTCTCTCTCTCCCTTAGGTGGGAGGGGCAGAGCCCCCTGCTAGCTGTCAGTCAAACTCAGTCTGTCTCTACTTGTGTAGGATGCAGAGTTAACCCAGGTTTGGCGAAGGTGGGCGTATTTTTACAAAACAGAATTAGCCCACTGGTCCAGGTTAAGTCCAGTAGTCTCAGAACTTCCTTTAGGGTTACTTTTCCTTGATTGTTCTTTAAATGTATTTCTCTTGGGGTTGTAATTATCTAAAAAAGATTGTTTGCTCAATTTCAGGTGTCTGACTGGCTGTCTCATTTATCAGCTTTTGACGTAACTGCTTCGGATCACAACATTAGACGATGAGCAGTAATTAACGGGAAATATCCCTCATTACATTTTTTGAGGGGAAAAAATCTCAAATTAATTTTATACTGATTCCTCAGTAATGCAAAGTAGTGCATATTAATATAAACTCACCTCATAGGAGCTCTGCAACTCTGCATCCGGACATTTTTTATTTTTTTTATTATTCTCCAAAGCTGGAAGTTAAGATGTCAAGATTAAGTCATGTGTTTGCTTCCTACATTGATTGGTCGGATGTGCATACAAGACGAAACCAAACATCCCATCTCTGCACCTTTAAACTTGGAAAGAAGGGTGTTTAGCACATAGCAGGACATGTTGACTACATTTAAAGGGACAGTGTGTAGGATTCGGTGACATCTAGTGGTGTGGTTGCAGATTGCAACCGACTGAACGTCCCTGTGCTCACTGCTCCCTTTTTGCTACAGTGGTAACGTGAGCCGCGGTTTTGCACTTTGCGGCTCACGTCCTGCTCCATATGTAGATATAAAAGGCTCATTCTAAGCTAACGAAAAGACAACGGTTCGTAGTTTCAGGTGATTATACACTAATGAAAACATAGTTACCCCTTATAGCTAGCTGTATTCTTGTTCGGGATCTCACGGGTTCTTGCCCCTCCTTCAGGTTGTACCGAGTTCAGAGAGGGCACTGCGTGACGCGGTGGAACAATGTGTCGTAATCCTCGTTTGTAAGCACCCACATGCCCTCACCTGTCCTCCCCCCTGTTCACACGCGAGCCTCATTACCGCAACACCTCTTAAATTGCTTTGTCTCCCGTCTCGTCTCCCTTCCTTTTTTCCTCCCGTCTGTCTTCTGTGTGTTTGTTTCGCTTTGCTGTGCCGCTCATTTCCACACTCTTTCCCCTCCATGCTTTGACATGGCAGGCAGCTGGGATTTCCAGCCCGTAACCCCCCCCCCTCCATCAAAAATTCATAGAACCGGGCAAACAGACGTGTTGAAGCTGCGAGAAGAGGCGGGCGACACACCAACTCTCCCATCAATCCCTCTCTTTCTCTCTCTCGTTTTCCTGTCTCCCTTCATCTTTCCCTGGCTCGATCTCTCTCTTTACGTCGCCCGCTCTCCCTCTCTCGCCTCACATTTCATCTCCTTCTACCTCTCTCCCCCACCCTCTTTCTCACTCCCTTTCATCTCTCTATCACCCCCTCTGTCACCGTGGCAATTTTCTCCCATCATGGCAGGCGTGCAACTGCTGTCCTCTCTCCCGCTCTCTCTTCCCTTTCGCTCCCCCCTCCCTCCTGCTCTTGTCGCTGTTTGACACTGTCAACAAGCAGGTGGAGGTGGCTGTTATTGTTGATGCCTCTGCAGAGGTTCCAGGTAATGAATAAAAGAGAGATGGAGGGAGAAGGAGAGAGAGAGACGACAGAGACAGAGATAGAAAAGGGGGGAAGACAGGTGTGGGGTGTTGGCAGGTTCCCCTGCATTACACAGCAGCTTGACTGTGTCACCCGTGTTTATTCTCTTTGTTGGTGGAGGTGAGGCCCGCTGTTCAGCTTACACACACACACATGCACACAGTGGCAAGACAATATACAGACGCAAACACAGATCCACGGGTACACACACACACA